AAATTAAGCACCTCCACCAGTTTTGGCGATCACATGACTGCAAAAAAGGGGTGCTTAATTTCAAGATTTTACGGTAAAATATACTAAACTAAATTGATTAAGTTTAGTATTAGAATTAGGTCAGGATTAGGATCAGGATTAAGGTTAGAATTGGGATATATTTTTTTATTACGTTGAATTAGGGTTAGAATGAGGTTAGGGTTATGTTTCAGGATTTTGAAAGTCAGGATTATGTCAATTCAGGATTAAAGACCATCGGGATTATATCAGGATTTTGAAGTTGGGATTCTGGACTGTCAGGATTCTGAGTGTCAGGATATCGTCGTAAATCCCCAATGTGCACTATTTAAACTGATATATCAGTATTCTTCAGATACAAACTTGCCTTTCAATCCATTATATATACAGCTTTCACCTATTTCTAAGCTTATTCTGAGATATACGAGTTGATTGCAAGAATAACAGATAGCCATTTCACACTTTAGGAAGTACTCTTTTCCATCAACAAGATACGGCAAAGTTTTGTGAGTATAAAAGCTATCTTTCTCACCATATGTATAATATTTATTATTTCAAAAATACATTAGACGATCCCAAATCCAGTCGGATGGAGTTTCACCATTCATAATGTGGCGCAACCCATAATACTCCTCATAAGTACCATTAAAACCCGTTTGATAACTGAATGATATAATAATTATACTTGATTATAGCTATTTATCGATTTATTAATGATTGCTGATTTAAGCAATAGTATATTCTAATAAATCCAAATTCATTTTTATTCGATTATCCCCTTGTTCAAAGAACTTCGAGGTGAAAATACTGAATTTTTTCAGATGTTATTATTCGGTTAGACTCGATCAGCGTGGACGGCTAAATTATGCACAGCGCCATCGGCTAAAATTTGTATCACATGAGATCCCTGCTAGTTTCTCGATAGTTCTAGGAGCTGGCGAGTTCCTATAAATCATGAGATGATCGGCCAATCAGATTTCGGATTTTTTCTTTCTGATAGTAAAGTCTTCCGGGCTTATCAAAATTGCGCAGAAGATGGCGCAGTATCTTTGAAATAATTTTGAGATGATCTAACCATTTTGGCAAATTATTTTCCGTGAAGTACTTTATATTATATTTAGTAGTGTAAACCCCAATATGGGCAGATATACAAATACTTTATTAATATATGCTTGTAAATACATGTGAACGAAAATCTATTTTTTCTGATGGTAGAGTGTTCGGGCTCTCCAAAATTGCGCAGAAGAAACGGTGCAGTACCTTCGTGATAATCTAAACGTTTTGAAAAATTATTTTTCGTGATGTTCGGTAAAAAGTACTTTATATTATATTTAGCAGTGATCATTGATGCATATCAGACACTTAAAAAAAACCCGAAATACTTTATTAATATATGTTTGAAATACACATGCAAGAAATACTATTTTTTTGATGGTAGATGTGTCTGGGCTACGCAGAAAAATAATCACATAGCGCAGTACATTATCGAACTTTCTGCTTTAAGATTTTGGCTATCACATAATCTTTTTCATCCTTAGTTAGATTTTAAGATGAAACCTGGAGGGATAGATTTTATTCATGCTATTTTTTCTTTACCTATACTATTAAAAATCTTATAAATCTTTTCAGATCTCTCCATCTTTTTCCACAAAGCTTCGTCGGAATATTTTACCTTGAGAATCGCTTTACTTTGTTTCTTCCAAGCTTCCACTGGGGACAGGTACCACATCAGTCAATAACTCTTCAATTAGCTTTCTTGCTAGATGATTTTTTGGTTGATGCGTCCGATTCCCTAAAACGTTTTTTCTGTACATCATTGGATCCCATTCTATTAGAGTTGATACCTTTGATATCATTTCAGACGATGGCAGGTAGGACACTTCTTGTAGTGTACGACATGCTTACAGGATAAAATATGATAGCTCTATCCTATATATTTTTTCATATTATACGACCTAATAATTAGCCTTTTTCCTGCCAGCGAACACGCCCTAATTGTCTTATCCTTTAACAATCCCATGATTCAGAAGTCGTTATCATCTTTTTTGATTTGTCTTATATAAAATGCCAAGAAACTTCCATCACGAAAAGTAATGATAGGATCACGTGTTTACCAAGAAAAAAAATTGAGCTCGAGTTTATTTATTGCCGAATTCTGTTGCACATAAATATATGATCGGTAACAACATTACATTATCGCCTTATTTGATAATATAGTCGAAGGATTATATGATTATATTTTCAAAGATCAATATTACTATGTCTTCTTCTATAGCACCATTTATCTGTAAATAGACCGATACTTATTCTAAACCACTGTTCTTTTGCACTCAGAATGAACTCGAGCTTCACGTCCACAATGACCACAAGGATTTGGCCAAATTAAGGTAGGTTTCCTAACTATTACTTGAGAAGAGTCATTAGGTTTTTACTTTCTAATTTATTTTTATGCAGAGTGTATAATCGAGGACGCCAATTTTATCTATGTCTGTGAGAAAATTGTGAAAAGCAACGGAATGATATTTCTCAATTAAAAGGTATAAATAATATGCCAAGTACTTAAGTACTTCTTGACGCTGTAGTAAATTGTAATAACCTATTATTGATTTCTTGCAGAACATTTGCGTGAACACATTCAACAGATGCCATTTAAGGTAGGCTCAAAGAATTGATTTTGCCTGCTACTTTTAAAATGGTCACATTGACTTTATTTCTTTCATGTTTAGTGCTCAATTTACATTAGTTCTCAATTTGTATCCTTTGATAAACTAGAACGACACCTGATTTTTATCTATCGTGACAGCGTTGTAGACAATATGGCCACAGATGATATAACGAAACAGGAAAAAGGTACTCGTTCTTGCTTTCATAAAAAAAAACTGTTATTTCTTATTGAAACAAGAACTTTAATTATATCATGAATTATCTAAAGCTTGTTTTATTTTATCTCTTTATTAGTCAAAAAAAAAAAAATAATAATTAAGGTGTTACTTTTGATGAGGAAAGTGAAGATTATCTTTTATGTAAAGCATTTGCTAAACTTTGTGATTGGGAATTCATTGAGGAACAAAAGGCATTTTATGGACTTGAACATCTTGATATTTAACTCTATTTTTATACGTTCCTAGTAAAAAATTTTTATTTATACCTAGAAAAAGAACAAACATACAAATATTAATTCTATATGTGATAAATGCATTATAATTCTTTTATTATCAAGAAATTAAGCTTTTTTATTTACGTTTAGTAAAAAATAAAATCCATTTATTATATATACTATTTTAAAAGGTGAAAAGGTATTAAATGTATAGAAAATAATTACATATTATTAATAATCTCAATACATTTTTTAAATCCCTGCTTGCAAATTTGTGATATATCTGCACTAGCTATATTCAAACGCTCAAGTGCATCGTTTCTTGGTAACGTTTTTCCCTTATGAACCCCATGATTTCGAGTTAGTTTATATATACCCATCGCAGATATTTCTCTAGCTGTCACTTCACCTAATTTTTGAGCCTTCTCAACTATTTTATCCCAAACAGCATTATTTTTACTTTTCAGTAAATCTTTGATATTATCAATACACTTAATGTCAGGGTCTCTGTTATATTCTGATAAAAGAAGAGCATTCCATTCTGATAGAATGTCACATAGATCGTCAATTGCGTCGCATACGTCTTCGTTGAAACACATAGTCTTTGTAGACTTTGTGTTACCTGTGGATTAATATATTTAGAAATATTAGAGTCATGTAAAATATTAAAAGTTCTTCATGCTGAATTGAGAAATACTCACTTCTTTTGACCATAACTATATTGTTTGTATTCTCAATTTGTTTATTACAATCATCTTTTTTAATACTGCCAAATAATGTTTCATTTATAAACAAAGAATAGAGATAAACCTT